AAACCTTGGTACCATATCCATCTCTATCATTTAACTGTTGAACCACTTGAACCACCGTATCCGAGAAGTATAAAGGTAGAGTACACACCAAAACACTTCCCCCCCCCCCTCTCTCTCTCTCTCTCGGACGCTTTTCCTCTCTCTCGGTACGTCACAAAGATTGAGTTTTTCGTAGAGTGGCACAGCTAGCCCAGTTGTGGCTGCGCGGATGAAAACCTTGACAGCGGGTTCCGCGCCGCATACTGCAGCCCTAGCTGGCACAAAATAGACTTCAGGAAAAAGCCTAATTTATACGCGAATCACCTACGACCTTCAGCTTTTTTGCCGAGTCCTCCCAACCAAAAGAACATGAACATGTCCCTTAAAGCCTTAAAAGAGGGCTTCGTTAGATTTGATTCATGTGATGTGATGCAGTCGTCTGATGCTACTTCGCAACTCTCTGGCAGGCAGTGTTGACGACAATGATAAGCCAAGGGAGCGACTCGCTCGCTGGCTTTCATACGTTGGCGGTATGTGCGCTCTTAGCGGGTTCACTTCAGTGCTGCAGCCCTCCCCCCCCCCCCCCCCTTTTTTCCCGGCTGGTTTTTGCGTGCCATCCTCATGTTGATTTGAAAAGTTGGTCCTGACAGTGTTCTGCAGGCTGACGGAGGACTACTAGATGCCCCCCCCCCCTCCCCTCCACTTGCCGAGAGGAAAGAAGGGGGGGGGGGGGGAGGACGTTTATTTCTGCTCAGAATTCATAACTTGGGGAAATAAATGTCAGCCCTGATCCGATACTCCCGTCTGTGCTGACAGTGGCGCAGGGGCGGTGGGCCGGTCCAACACAGAGCGCAGCATCCCCGTCAGGCCAGCAGCCGCTCCCATCCGACAAATAAAATAAAAAAAAGAAGATAATAACCCTGGCGCTTATTTGATAGCCGCTTCGCTCCGCGCGGCCGGCCGGGCCTAGCAGCCCTTTATTTATCACACACACTTCGAGAGCAGATGGCCCCGCAGAGATACGATTGGATAAGTTCAGGAGTTGAGGACAATCACTTTGCCTCACACGGTGGCTTTGAGGCGACGGCGAACTTCTTGGTACCCGGTGGCTGGCCTGC